TAAATCTGACGGTATTATGACGCACATCATTTGACGATAGTAGATGACTGACGTAATCAAATTCGACAATTGCAGATAATCATCATTTATCACGTGATTTCCAGCATCAGCCGTTTCCAGCATCAGCCGCGACATTTAATATTAAGGTGTTGATGGTTATATAATTTTTAAGCCAATAGTTTAAGAAAATGATTAGAGATAATACTTCTATCAGAACTACTATTAAGAATAATATTGGTAGTGACTCTATTGACATTAACTTAACAATACAATACTGTAGTTTTAAATTTTCCATCAGCATATTGAGCAGTAACCATAGGTTTAGGAGCAGATTTGATTTTTTTTTCGAAGACTTTTATTTAGTTTTCTTAAATATTTAGGATTTTTAGCAGCAAGTTGGGCAATAGAAATATTTACTTTGATTTGTTGTAAGTCTTCAACAATTGAATATTTTTGTATATCTTTATCAATTGTTAGTTTATGGAATCTTGAACCTTGTAGAAGATTTCTTTTCATTTTAATTTTAGATATTTTGGAACTTTTTGCTTGAGGGTCATTTACTACAAAACTTTGGACTTCTGAAGTTTTAATTTCTTCTACTACTTTTCTTCTTTTTTCACATATATTTCATTAATATTATTTTTATCTTCTTCTTTTAAATAGATCATAGAAAGGTTTGTATTGTTTTGAGAAGCATCAGGACCTTCTGTATTTACTAACACTGATTCAAGTTTAAATGTTTTAAGAGAGTAGCTAATTGTTGTATAAGTTAATTGAGATTATTATTATTATTATTATTGGAGTTATTTTGTGGTTGATTGTTATTATTTTGAATAGGATTTGAATAGTTATTATTTCTGGGTTGATTATTTCTAAGTTGATTATTATTATTTGGTGGAGGTTATTTTGTTGGTTATTATTATTTTTGGGTTAGAACAATCCTATACAATATTTCTAGACTGGAAACAATTAAAACAAACAGGTCCTCTTTGATTGTTATTGTTATTATTATTATTATTTTGGTTGTTTCTTCTAGAGTAGTTGTTGTTTCTAACTTCTTTTCAATTTTCTTTTTAGAGTTTTCTATATATTTAGTGAGAGCTTTTATTATAATTTCAACAGAGTTAAAAGATGTAAAAGTTGAAGTAATAATATTATTGTTAAAATTAGGAGTAATATATATTGCAATACTATAGTAAGTAAGTTTACAGGTTTTTGCTCTGTTAACTACTTCAGCCCAAGTATTTTTACCAAATAGATGTACTGCTATTTGTAATTCTGTTCTTAATGCAGTAAAAAATTTACAAACTTTTTTTATTTCTAAGTAAACATTAGCATTTATTTCTAATCGATAATATAATTCATATAAGCATATAGCATATTGGTCTACAGTTTCAGACAGCCCTTATATACAGTGAGTTAGCTTAGTAGCCCAAATATTAATAAGGGCAGAAGTATAAAATCAGTTAAAGAATCAAGGTTTAAAACTATTAGCTTGATTTAATGTATCCTAGTATTCAAAAACTTGTTGTTGGTTAGCATTATTATACCAGATTACTGCTTTACTTTTGAGATAAGTAGAAATAATTTGTAATTTTTTTGCATTAGTAAAGTTATTAGCTACAGCTATATATTCAAATTTTTCAATCAAAGTAACAAGATCTTAGTTACCATTAGCAAAAGATATAATTTCGATAAATTTAAATTCTCTTTGTTCAAGACAGTTAGTATTATTAGTAACAGCATTTGTTTAATTTTAAATCTAGTTATCTAGTGCTTGGATAGTAGCATTAAATTGTTAACATCTTGTGCTTGTAATGCATATTATTATTTGGAAGTAATAATAGCAGGGTAATAGAAAGAGAAGATATAGGAGTTTGTTCTATTTGTTACTCTATAAACACAGAAATAAATATTTTTTTTGTTAATTTTTGAACTTGATTCTCTGCAGAATTTCTTGTTATTCAATATTTTGATTATACTATTTTAGTTTTTCAAGATATTAATAAATATAATATTGATAATTTACTTTAAAACATTTTAAAAATCTTATCTTTACTATTTGATATCAACAAAATTTAACTCCTTTAGTATTTAATTCTTTATCTACTCAAATCTATACTGCTTATCTTCGAACAAATCAATTTACTTTAGATCCCTTTTTAATTTTTTATAATTATAGTGAAGTATAATCTAAAACCTCTGAAACTTCTAACTTATCTGAATTTAATTTAGAACAATTATATCAAACTCCTATATCTTCTCTTTCTATTACCCTGCTATTATTACTTCCAAATAATAATATGCATTACAAGCACAAGATGTTAACAATTTAATGCTACTATCCAAGCACTAGATAACTAGATTTAAAATTAAACAAATGCTGTTACTAATAATACTAACTGTCTTGAACAAAGAGAATTTAAATTTATCGAAATTATATCTTTTGCTAATGGTAACTAAGATCTTGTTACTTTGATTGAAAAATTTGAATATATAGCTGTAGCTAATAACTTTACTAATGCAAAAAAATTACAAATTATTTCTACTTATCTCAAAAGTAAAGCAGTAATCTGGTATAATAATGCTAACCAACAACAAGTTTTTGAATACTAGGATACATTAAATCAAGCTAATAGTTTTAAACCTTGATTCTTTAACTGATTTTATACTTCTGCCCTTATTAATATTTGGGCTACTAAGCTAACTCACTGTATATAAGGGCTGTCTGAAACTGTAGACCAATATGCTATATGCTTATATGAATTATATTATCGATTAGAAATAAATGCTAATGTTTACTTAGAAATAAAAAAAGTTTGTAAATTTTTTACTGCATTAAGAACAGAATTACAAATAGCAGTACATCTATTTGGTAAAAATACTTGGGCTGAAGTAGTTAACAGAGCAAAAACCTGTAAACTTACTTACTATAGTATTGCAATATATATTACTCCTAATTTTAACAATAATATTATTACTTCAACTTTTACATCTTTTAACTCTGTTGAAATTATAATAAAAGCTCTCACTAAATATATAGAAAACTCTAAAAAGAAAATTGAAAAGAAGTTAGAAACAACAACTACTCTAGAAGAAACAACCAAAATAATAATAATAATAACAATAACAATCAAAGAGGACCTGTTTGTTTTAATTGTTTCCAGTCTAGAAATATTGTATAGGATTGTTCTAACCCAAAAATAATAATAACCAACAAAATAACCTCCACCAAATAATAATAATCAACTTAGAAATAATCAACCCAGAAATAATAACTATTCAAATCCTATTCAAAATAATAACAATCAACCACAAAATAACTCCAATAATAATAATAATAATAATCTCAATTAACTTATACAACAATTAGCTACTCTCTTAAAACATTTAAACTTGAATCAGTGTTAGTAAATACAGAAGGTCCTGATGCTTCTCAAAACAATACAAACCTTTCTATGATCTATTTAAAAGAAGAAGATAAAAATAATATTAATGAAATATATGTGAAAAAAGAAGAAAAGTAGTAGAAGAAATTAAAACTTCAGAAGTCCAAAGTTTTGTAGTAAATGACCCTCAAGCAAAAAGTTCCAAAATATCTAAAATTAAAATGAAAAGAAATCTTCTACAAGGTTCAAGATTCCATAAACTAACAATTGATAAAGATATACAAAAATATTCAATTGTTGAAGACTTACAACAAATCAAAGTAAATATTTCTATTGCCCAACTTGCTGCTAAAAATCCTAAATATTTAAGAAAACTAAATAAAAGTCTTCGAAAAAAAAATCAAATCTGCTCCTAAACCTATGGTTACTGCTCAATATGCTGATGGAAAATTTAAAACTACAGTATTGTATTGTTAAGTTAATGTCAATAGAGTCACTACCAATATTATTCTTAATAGTAGTTCTGATAGAAGTATTATCTCTAATCATTTTCTTAAACTATTGGCTTAAAAATTATATAACCATCAACACCTTAATATTAAATGTCGCGGCTGATGCTGGAAACGGCTGATGCTGGAAATCACGTGATAAATGATGATTATCTGCAATTGTCGAATTTGATTACGTCAGTCATCTACTATCGTCAAATGATGTGCGTCATAATACCGTCAGATTTA